GGCAGCCACACTAGACAGCAGCTGGACCAGGGAGTATGAACCAGGCTGGGGATCTGCAGGGAGATTTGGGGACAGCAGCAATCCTAACTCAGTCACATGCAGACTTCCCTGCTCAGCCATGACCCCTACAGTCACCCCAGGTCAGATGTGTAGGTAGTGCTGGGGAGTCAGAGGGCAGCTGGGCCCACCTCCACATCCAATGCAATCCTGAGATCCACGCACAGGGCTCCAACCTGGACCCTGGGAGAGACTCCCTGCAGAGGGTGTCTGAGCTGGGTGATTAGGAGGATGGGGGTTGCCAGGGAGACCCAGCATGACCAGGCATGGAGTTGGGGGCAGAGCCTACTGGGGCGGTGGAGGACACAGAGATTGCATGGTGAGATAGGCCTGGCCTGTGGGAAGCCTGGAGGCCTGGAGGATGAGGGTGAACCCAAGTCCAAACAAGGCTGATTCCTGGGTCTGCCAGCATCTTCGAGGGCCTGGTAGGCCAGACACTGCACCAAGCTCTGGGGCAATGCAGAAAGTGGAATAAATCCTTGCTGCCTGTAGGGTCTGTGTTCTACCGAGGAGAACACACAAACAGCAGTGGCCTGTCTGAAATGGCACTCAAATCTCAGAAAATGTGAATGATATGCAGGTCACCTGGGCAATGTGCCCGGGACTAGCAGTGGGCAAGGGGCTCAGGAATGCCCCCAGAGGGGATACTGAAGGTGCTAACTGAATGTGCTGAGCCTGGGAACACCTTGTGCAAAGGCCTTGAGGTCAGAGTGCATTGCATGGGCTCTAGAAACCCAAAGACAGCACCATTGTGGTGCTCCAGGGCTAGGGAGGATGGGGCCGGGGCCTTGTAGCGTGGCACCCAGGTGAGGACGAGTTAGGGAGGGCAGAGCCAAGCTGGGCAGCAGGAATGGACATGAGGAAGGATCTGAACCACGCCTGGGGCAGGGAGAAACTGGTTAATAATGATTGTTAAACTGGTTTGTTGAGGAGACTGAGAGACCCAGCACAGCATGAGGGTGTCACCCTCCCCAGCGGCTGCTCCGCCTGAGGCCACCTGGACAGTGGGGCTCAAGCAGAAGAGCATGTGGAGAGCAGTGGAGTCCCGGGCCCTCAGCCTGGAAACCTGGAGCACATCCTAACCCCTGTGAGTGAGGGCAACGCAGACAATAATGATGGCTTTTTGGAGCTTTGTGGGTAAAAGCCATTGTGTAGCCAGAGCTATGTTTTGGGGACACCCTGCACTTATCACTGGTTAATAGACAGGAATGTGATATAGACAAGAAGTTTAGCTGGCACAGCCAGGCCAGACTGTGAGCCACAGCAACTCCCGTGATGAGAGAAGGGCCTCCAGCAAGTCCCGCCAGGGTGGGCACCAGGGACCTGGGCACCAGGGAGCTGGGCAGCCAGGCTCAGGGCCGGTAGGGGGCAGCATTACTGCACCCAGGATGCCCCTCAGCCTGAGGAATTTTCAAAATCTTGTAGAACTTCATTTAATCCACCTTTTTTCCCCAGACTCACCTCCTATCAAGGTGGGAGGTGAGAATTTTCTTTTTTTTTTTTTTTAGAGTCTCATTCTGTCGCCCTGGGTATAGTGCTGTGGCATCACAACTCACAGCAACCTTAAACTCCTGGGCTCCAGTGGTCCTTCTGCCTCAGCCTCCCAAGTAGCTGGAACTACAGGTGCCCACCACAATGCATGGCTAGTTTTCCTAATTTTAGTAGAGATGCTCAGGCTGGTCTCAAACTCCAGATCTCAAGCAATCCCCTCACCTCCCAGAGTGCTGAGGTTGCCCATGTGAGCCACTGTGCCAGGCTGTGAGGTGGGAATTTAATACCAGCTGGGTTCTTTCTATTTAGCCTGTGGGGCTCATGAGCCATCAGCAAGGAATGTGGAGAAGGCAGATCACCTCACATGTGGCTGAGCCTAGTGGCCTTTATTCAGAGGATTGGAATGTCTCCAAAGTAGTTGAATCATCTGAGTGACCTACCTGCAAAGTCATTCAGATGATTTAAGCAACCCAACAAGCAGGGATGGGCAGTGACTAGAGCCTGGGATATGGACAGTGACCAGGGACAGAAACAGGCAATGACCAACTGGGCAGATTGCAAACTCCAAGGACTGTGGGGCTGCGGCCTTACCCCCACCCAGACCGTGTGAGGCTGGCCCCATTCCCTGCCTGGCCACGTGTTGTACACATTATGGACCAGTTCTGAGAGCTGACCAAACACACCCATCTCGGCCATGTCTCTTCACCATTTAGATGGGATTTGGGGTGTGGGATGCCAGGTGGGTAATGGCCCCTGGAGCCCCAGGCTCAGATCTAGGTGGCTGCTAGGGTCAGCACAGGAGGCCAGATCTGACTGGTCACCAATTAAAAGACCCCCATGTTGTATCTACCCCCAGGAATAAAAAGGTGCTGCCCGTTGGGCTGTCCCTCCAGGCTGGAGGCCCAGAATTGGGAGAGAGCTCTTGGGCAAGGGTAGCACCCAACACACAGCCTGGCCCCCATGGTATCCTTGCCTGTGAAGGCCAGGACAGCGAGGTTGAGCTTTGGAGAAAGCCCCCCAAATGCTTTCACCAGGACCACAAAACCCCTTTCTCAGCCCAGGGTCACCCCTGGGTGAGGTGGTCACAGCAGAAGACCTGCTGGAGCCTGCCTGGTAGTGCTCAGGGCTGATCTGATTCTCTCAGTCCATGCTGGGTCCAGAGAATGTGAGCTGCTGCTGGATGGGCAGCTTACCAGCTGCAAGGAGAGAGCTGCTCCACCGGGTAGCACTCGTGGAGCTGGAGCACGTGGCTCTTTGGATGTCTCTGTGATACAGACCATCCAGCTCACAGCGTGCTGTGGCTCCGGATTTGCAGCCATTTGGGGTTTGAAAGGGTCTCTGTAACTCAGGGGCTCAGGGGACTCTGCTAGAAATACAGATTCCAGGCCCCTCTCAGATGATTGAATCAGAAATGCTGTTGGTGCTGCCCTGCAACCACGTTTCAGCAAGTCCCCTAGAGGTTCTGGGTCCTGTGGTGTTTGAGGATAAGCCACTGCATATCAAATGTACTGGGGGAGCCTCAGGGAGTGTGAGGAAGCGGAGCCCTATGTCCCACTGGTGAGGCCGTGGCCCTTATTGTTGAAGGGTGACTCTCCATGTCAGGTCCAGCCTAGGTGCCAGGAGGGTCTCCTGGCCACAGCCCCATGTGCAGGGAGCAGAGGTGCTGTCACCTCCCCCATCACAGTGGCTCTGTGCCTACATGTTTGCATATAGTTCCTAAAAACTCTCTCTTATAGAAAAATGTAGAAAAATACAAAAAGAAAGATATGTTCATTTGTTTCCTTCTGGTCTTTTTTCAGCCTGTTCAACTTCTTAACACGGCTGGTCACAAACTATCTCCAGTTCCACAGTTTGAGTTGTAGACGCTTCCCAACAACACAGCTGTGCCATTAACTAAGGGTGTTCTCCACACTTTAATGTCACAAAGAGTATGGCCAGGAAGCTCCTTATAGGGCCTGAGTCCTTGTTCTGCATATCTGGTCATCCTCTCACAGATGTGCCATTAACTAACGGTGTTCTCCACACCTTAATGTCACAAAAAGCGCAGCCAGGAAGCTCCTTGTGGGGCCTGAGTCCTTGTTCTGCGTCTCTGGTTATCCCCTTGGCACAAACAGCTGGCAGGTGGGTGCGGGCGCACTAAGGCCCTGGGATGCCCCACAGCACCACTACTGGAAGGGGTCTGGGGCAGCTCCATGGCCACCATGGGCAGGACCTCAGTCTGAGTAGTCTAAGCTGCTCAGAGGCAGAGTTCCCAGCCTGACCAGCGAGGGAATACCAAGCTCTCTTCAAATACCAAGAGCCCCACCTGTAGGCCAGGACCTGGCAGGTCCCTCTCTAAGGCAGGGCCAGTAGGGGGAATTTGTGGCTTGTGGAAGAAAAATGTCTCATGTGGGAAAGGCCACACAGGCTGAGGGCTCCAGGCACCCCCAGCCTCAGGGAGCCCATTTGAAGGAGCTTGGGAGGCCCAGCTGGTGACCTGACTCTTCCCCCAACATCTTCCGCTCCACTCGGTAGCTAGTTGCCCTCACTGCCATAAGTAGCCCCTCCCCACACTCTGCTGAAATAACTAGTTCTCCTCACTGTGGTAACTAGTCCCTCCCATACACTCATGCTTCGCTGTGGTAACTAGTCTTCCTCCACACCCTCCCACTCTACTGCAGTAACTAGTCACCCTTCACGACAGTAACTAGTCCCTCAGCTTTCCTGTAATAACTAGTCCCCCTTCACTGAGGTAACTAGTTCCCTCTCCTACTCCACTGTGGTAACTAGTCCTCCCCCCACCCTCCCATTCTACTGCAGTAACTTGTCCCTCCCCACTATGCTAACTAGTTGCCCCCTCTACTGTGGTAACTAGTGCCTCTCACTGCAATAACTAGCTTCCTCCTGCCCTTCCAATCTATTGCAATAACTAGTCCCCCTCATACTCCACTGCAATAACTTATTCCCCGACTGTGGTTACTATTCCCCCCAGCTCCACTGTGATAACTAGTCCTCCCGCCCCTACTTCATGGCAGTAACTAGTCTACCCCTCCCTCTACCATGCTTTGCCGAGACTATAACTTCAGTGTTAAGTTTATTTTTCATACGTAAAGTTAAGATATGTGCAGGCCACATGGAAAAAATACATTTTAATATTTAACAAACAAAATATGTCCACTTTTTAATTTTAAAAACAACTTGCATGTACACATGCAAGGCTGCATGATGTGGATGCTTCAATGCCCTTAGGAGGAAATGGTCAGAGCACTGCTGAGAAGCAGGCATGAGCAGGACAGGGACAGCGCCTGCCCCAGGGCTGTCAGCAGGACAGGAACCCAAGTCTCTCATCTGTCAACTTCCTGCCCTCCCTACCTGGTCCCGGGTACTACAGATGTGGGGTTGCCCTGGGGAAATGCTCTGTGGAGTCAGCACAATACTGATGATTAACTTCTCCCTGCAGACCACAGAGCAGCATGGTGTGCGGTGACAGGGTGTCTATTGATGTACACACCCTGAAGAAGAAGCTCAGCAGGGCGGCCTGTGACCCAGCGGCCTGCACCATCCTGGGCAGCCTGCTACTATATGTCGTGGGCCACCAAGATGGGACCCCAGGGGTTGGGGGCAGCAGGTCCAGCCGTAAGCCAGAAGCCCAGGAGGCTGTCCGGCGACCTACGCGGTTCCAGCTCCTGCAGGCCAAGTTCCTGGGTGCCGGACGGGAGCCCCCGCTCAAGAGGACACGGGAGGTGGGCAGGCTGATTCTCAAGGACAGGCATGGGCCTAGCCGGAGCCTGGTGAGTGCCACCATTAGCAGGCTCCTGGACAAGGCTCAGGGGAAGGACGAGGACCAGGGGAGGGCCGGCGGCCTGAGCCAAAGTCTCCCCAGCGAGAAGCCCCGGTGGGGGTCCCCTGCTGGGAAAAGCACTGTGAAAAACATCCTGAAGAAGTTCTTGGCCGCAGAGGAGAAGGCGGCGGAAGAGAGAGAGGCAAGCAAGAAGCCCCTGGCACAGGGGCTCAAAGCCCCACGGGGCCTCCTGCCCAAGATCGTGGGCAGGAACTCTGTCCTGTCCAAACTGCGTGAAAAGTTCGAGCAGAACAGCTGCCTGTGTTCGGAGGCTGGGGTGCTGCCACTCCGCACAGACACAAGGAAGAGGAAGAACCTGCAGAGGAGGAAGATGCACAGGCCGGAGGTGCGGGTGCTGCATACGGCCACCATGGCCAGTACCTGCATCAGGATGCCCCCTGCCTGGCTTCTGGCCTGCACGGCCGATCCCCTGCCAGCCTTCAGCATCGCAACCGTCACCTGCAGCCCCCGGAGCTGGCTGTCCCACTGCACTAAGATCAGTCACTTGGACACCAGGCACCAGCCCCGAGGAAAAACCAGACTGCTCCCTGACACAGGGGAAGCAGAGCCCGGGGGAGACAAAGCACATCGGAAGGGGCCCCTCCAGGAGGAGCCTAAAGGACAGCCAGAGCCCTCAAGGCCCCACATGGCAGCTCAGAGAGGCAGCCACACTGATCTTCAGGTGCCACTAGCCTGTGCGGGGCTGGAGCAGGTGTCAAGGCTGGACTCACCTCATGCTCCTGGCCACATGCCTGCATTGTCCTCACTGGGATCAGCCAGCCCAGAGGGTGACAGTTTAGCCAGAGATGATAGGACAGTGGGCAGCACAGCAAAGAGTGCTGTAGATAGCACCCGAGAAGTGGGGGGAGCGGGAGCTGCTGGGTCTGCAGCACCCCTGGGGGAGGGTACAGCAGCAGTCCCTGAAATCACCATGACTGTTTGCAGCTCAGAGGATGAGATGGAAATCATGATGCCAAACTCAGAAAAAGACCCCTTCTTTGCCACCCAAAAGTATTTTCCAGAACAGAAAGGGCTAGAGCACATCCCACCGCTCTACACACCAGTGGTCCAGGCTGCTTGGAGAGCACAGCCTGCTGTGGAGCCCCCGCGGATCACTATGCAGCGTCCCCTTGTCCATGTGATGCCCCTTGGTCCTGCCTCTCTGCACAACACATTTCCTTGCAAAGACACACCTTCTTGTGTTCTGGGAGGAGAAAGTGCAGTTGAAAATGCACACACAGTATTTCCCACTGTGACTGAGAACAAAGGAGTTCAAAGACACACAGCAGAACCCAGAGAGCCTGTTATGACACCAGCGGGACTCGAAGCTTCTTCCACACAGGGGGCACAGGCAAACCTGCATTCTGCACCACTGAGAGACACTGACAGTGCTGACAGCAGTACCCCAGCGACAGTTCTGGTGCCAAGACCCCCTAAAAATCCACCTGGTGGAAAGGAAAACAATACAACTTTTGAGAATTCCAGTAGTTTCAAGAGTCACAAGGGTGTTTCCGGAGAGAACAGTTCTGAGCCCCATGGTGAGCGGCCCCAGCTGCCAGAGTCAAACGCAGCCCCAAAGCATAATAAGGCTACCTGGTCAGATGATCCCACAACATGGAAAACAAACCCCAGTGGTACCTCTGGCAGTCAGTCTTCACTGTCTGCCAGCAAGGGAAACATGATGGGTGCCCCAGCACTGTTGGTGGCACCATCCAGGGAGTGCACCAAGTCTGAGGGTTTTACCACACCAGACTCGAGCCTCCCCCATGAGCAAGAACATCAAAGGGGGCCTGTGCAGCCCCTAATGATTGCCAATGGAAACACCAGCCCTGAGTTTGAAAAGAATAGACTGTCGTCCTCAGATGAACAACCCAAACCAAGCATCAAAGACCCCGGCAAGATGACAGGTGCAGCCAGCATGCTGCGTCACACATCAGTGTCACCAGAGAATGGGCAGCACCCGAAGCACAATGTGGATGAGAACAAAGGAGTTCAAAGAGACACAGCAGAACCCAGAGAGCCTGTTATGACACCAACGGGACTCGAAGCTTCTTCTACACAGGGGGCACAGGCAAACCTGCATTCTGTATGGACAACCAGCAATGAGTCTTTGTGTGGCCGAAGGGAACAGCATTGCACGACAGCATCTCCCAGTGGAACCCAGCCACCTCTGTCTCTGGGCGCAGGCTGGATCGGCAGAGTACGGGGGCAAAGCAGCAGCCCCCTAGGCCAGGCCCCCCACCCAGAAGGAGCTGCCCACCCCTCTCAACTAGGTGCCTCCTGCAAGCCGGCAGCAAGAGGAGCCCACACAGCAGTAGGAGGCAGCGAGGCCGGAGCCGTGGGTGCAGACCCTGCCGGCCATAGCACAGGGGCCGGGAGACAATGCCCAGCAGGGTGGAGCCTCAGCCTGCCAGGGCCACAGTCACCTTCTGTGGCCCAGCAGGCCACAAGCAGAGAGGGCATCCAGTCAGAAAAGAAGCTTCCTTTGTGGACAGCGCTCACCCACCCACCTCCCATGAAGTCATCCACAGAGGGTAACATCCAGCAGGCAGGGAGGGCCCAGGCACACAGGCTCCCTGATCTCCCAGCCCCCCAGGCCCCTGCCTGGGGCACTCCCAAGGCCCAGAGCCTGGGGAGTGAGGCTCAGGGGACTCCACTAGCACAAGCAGACATGAGGGGACAGGAAAGTTTCCAGGACCCAGAGAAAACTGCCTCAGTGTACTCGAGGACACAGCAGACTCCACAGTTACATGGTCATGGAGGGAGCACAGCACTGTTGGGCCTGCAGGTTGTGCAGAGCGTGGCAAAAGAGCTTCAGACACAGTTGCAGTCAGCCCAGGACCCAGATGCATGGGTGGAGAGGCCTTGCCAGCAGGGTGACAAAGTGTGGGCATGTCCACCAGGGACGTGGGTGGAACAGGTGAGGAGTCTAGGTCAGGAACAGGGCACTTGGGCTGCCGAAAACACAGTCACACTGCCAGGGAGCCCAGCAGGGACTGGAAACCTGGTGGCCCAGGGACAAACTCAGGGACAGATCCAGGGGCAGGTCCAGAGACATTCTCAGGGACAGGTCCAGGAACAGGTACAGGGACAGCCCCAGGGTCACGTGCAGAGACAGATGCAAGGACAGGTGCAGGAACAGGGCCAGGGACAGGTGCAGGGACAACCCCAGGGACAGGTCCAGGGACAGCTCCAAGGACAGATGCAGAGACAGCCCCAGGGACAGGTGCAAAGACAGCCCCAAGGACAGGCCCAGGGACAAGCCCTGGGACAGGTGCAGGGACAGCCCCAGGGACAGGCCCAGGGACAGGTGCAGGGACAGCCCCAAGGTCAGGTGCAGAGTCAGATGCAAGGAGAGGTGCAGGGACAAGCCCAGGGACAGGTACAGAGACAGCCCCAGGGACAGCCCCAGGGTCAGGTGCAGAGTCAGATGCAAGGACAGCCCCAAGGTCAGGTGCAGAGTCAGATGCAAGGAGAGGTGCAGGGGCAAGCCCAGGGACAGGTACAGAGACAGCCCCAGGGACAGGTCCAGGAACAGCCCCAGGGACAGGTCCAGGAACAGCCCCAGGGACAGGTCCAGGGACAAGTCCTGGGACAGGTGCAGGGACAGGCCCAGAGTCAGGTGCAGAGACAGCCCCAGGGACAGGCCCAGGAACAGGTGCAGAAACAGCTCCAGGGTCCAGTGCAGAGACAGATGCCTGGAGAGGTGCAGGGACAGGCCCAGGAACAGGTGCAGAGACAGACACAAGGACAGGTGCAGGGACCAGCCCAGGGACAGGTCCAGAGACAGACACAGGGACAGCCCCAGGGTCAGGTACAGAGACAGCCCCAGGGACAGGCCCAGGGACAAGCCCTGGGACAGGTGCAGGGACAGGTGCAGGGACAGCCCCAGGGTCCAGTGCAGAGACAGATGCCTGGAGAGGTGCAGGGACAGGCCCAGGAACAGGTGCAGAGACAGGCCCAAGGACAGGTGCAGGGACCAGCCCAGGGACAGGTCCAGAGACAGACACAGGGACAGCCCCAGGGTCAGGTGCAGAGACAGATGCAAGGACAGGTGCAGAAACAGGCCCAAGGACAGGTACAGGGAAAAGTGCAGGGTCAGTCCCAGGGATGGGTACAGAGACAAGTTCAGAGTCAGCTGCAAGAACAACTCCAGGGACAGGTCCCGGGACAGGCCTGGGTGAGCGGGATGGCCCCTCAGGCCTGGGAGCAGCCCATTATTAGCAAGGCTGGAGGAACACCCCCTGCTGATGGGAGTGAGCAGTGGGGAAGACCCTCCCCCAGAGAAGGTGGCCAGCGGGACTCTGCCACCCAATGCCTGCCCCAAGAAAGCCAGCGCCCCCAGGGCAAGAGCAGTGGGGCCTCTGCCCCAGAGCCAGCGGATGGCCCAGCCATGCCCATGCCTGGTGCTGGGAGCTGCCAGGGCAACTGGGCCCTGCACCAGGACAGGATCCAGAGCAAGCCTGGGGTGGAGAGAGACCTTCGAGGGGAGGTGGAAGCGCCAGAGCACAAGCATCACAGGACATTGAGCTTGGCCAAGTACAGAGCCCAAAGCTTCAGTGACCAGAGAGCCTTTGATCTGTCCTTCAGACCAATGAGCCTCAAAGCCAATGACACCTTCAACCTCCCAAAGTGACAGCCACACTTCTAATGCCTGGCACCTGCCCACTCCTAGGGCCTTAGATGTTTTCCTGCCTGCAAATATGCTTTGAACATCCCCATGGAGACATCTGTTTTCATCATCTTTCACTTGGACGTGACCTGATCCTGGGAGGATCCGAGTGACCTGGGGGCCTTCTCCCTGCACCATCCACCCTCTCAGAGCCTGCAGTGGGTCTGCCTGTAGCCCCACAGCTTCTGGTGACCCTGGAGTTTCCTGAACACGGGACATCATGCCTGTCTCTTCACAGCTGTGGCAATGCACTGGTGTGTCTGCCCTGTGGCCCTCTGAGGAGGCCGGCACTTTTAGGGGCTTCCCACCTCTTGCCAACAAGGCCAGGCTACCCTCAGCCACCTACTCTCACATGGCCACATGGCATCTACTGTCCACAGCAAAGCCAGACCTGTGACATGCACCCAGCCTGGCCCACATATCTTGGAGGAAAGGGCAGTGCTGTGCAGGCTCCCTGGCCATCCAGCAGCAGTCACCAGATGGTATTTGGCCACTGGGCTCTCAGGTCTGGAGGCTGCTGGTTCCTGGGATCGGGCCTAAGGGAAAACCCACAGCACGTTCCAGGGAAGGAAGGACTAGGAGCCAGGAGGGGTTTCCAATAAGTGATCTCAGGCCACAGTTCCCAGGAAGCTTTCGTTTGGAAACCAGATGGCAGCCAGGTGCGGTGGCTCACGCCGGTAATCCCAACACTCTGGGAGGCTGAGGCAGGTGGATTGCCTGAGTTCACAGGTTGGAGACCAGCCTGAACCAGAGTGAGACCTTGTCTCTAAAATTAGCTGGGCATGTGGTGAGTGCCTATAGTCCCAGCTACTTAGGAGGCTGAGGCAAGAGACTCGCTTAAGCCCAAGAGTTTGAGGTTTCTGTGAGCTATGATGTTACAGCACTCCACTGAGGGCAACAAAGTGAGACTCTGTCTCCAAAAAAAAGAAAAAAAGAAAGAAAAGAATTTAATTAATGATCTTTAAAATTTTTCGCTGCACACCTAAGATCCTCTCACAGCACACCAAGGTGGCATAGGTCACCAGTTGAAAATCACTGGTGTAGAGTCATAAAGAAAAAAATAAAAGGGCAGTGCCTGTGGCTCAAAGGAGCAGGGAGCTAGCCCCATATGACAGAGGTGGCAGGTTCAAATCCAGCCCCTGACAAATACTGCCAAAAAAAAAAAAAAAAAAGGAAATAAAAATCACCAATCATTACATGGCCTCAAGACCATTTTTATTAATATCCTAGACTAATCTTTTCTGAGTTTTCCTGCAGTGTAACTATTTTAAAGCACATCCCTCCCTAGGCCACATCTTGAAGCACAAGGGCACATGCTGAGTATGAATACCTCCCAGGACATGCAGTGACCTTTGCAACCTGGCCCAGGGGGCTGTCCGATGGCACCACATATTACGGAGCAGCTGGGCTCTCGGTGTGCACAGACAGGACTGAGCGCACTGTTTCTACAGCTTGGTGGCATCTTGGCGTCTATTGCAGCCAAGCAGTTTCCTGAAATGCCCCAAGCTCCCTGGAGGACCCTGGGTGCTTTGCACACCTCTGCTCTCTGGCTCCATGTCTGCCTAGAGATAGGCACTGTCCATTGCACCTGTGAGAGCAGTTTAGCAAGAGCGCCCTACCTGCCACGAGGCTGGGACCACGGGGCCTCTCCTCCTGGGAAGCCCTTCCTTATGTGCCAGACTCATCTTGGGCTTTGTGTGGGGCCAGGCAGGAGATGTGACATTGTGCACAAAGATGGTGCACACATTCCCCCACCCCACCCAAATCCTCTCCCCTCCAGTTCAACAATTAAAGATCAGGCAGACCCTAGATGAGCTCACCAGCAAGGGCACTGAATTCTGGTGTCTGGAAGGAGCACCCAGTATGTGCTTGAGCTGGGGGTCTCCTGAGGTGACCTCAGAGAGCACTGGGACCACCTGCATGCACCTGGGCCACTATCAGTTTCTGTGTGATTTGCTAGCTTCTGGCAGCAAAGTTGGTGTCTGTGATGTCACCTGAGCACTGGGCACTGCTCACTTCGTGTGGGTGCTGGTGGCTCAGCCATGCTCAGCACAGGTGCAGCTTCCTGGGCAGGGAGGCCGCAGAAGGCAGTATGACCTTATCCACAGAGGTCTTATGGTGGTGTCACTTAACCTCTACTAGCAGCATGGAGTACTCCCCGCTCTCTGCACATGAGCTTCAAGGAAAAGTGGCCCTGGCCCCAGCAGCCCTAGGAGCCCCCACAGGGTCAGGCCGGATCTCTGGAGCTGCCAAACCCAGAAACTCAGGTGGGTCCCAGCAGAGGCCAGCACAAGGGCCTTTGGACCTGTGAATGGCACCTGCTCACACCCAGCTGTCCTCCCTGGGACTGTGCTCCCACCCCTGTGCAGCCCTCCCCTTCTCTTCACCTACCCCCAGCTTGGTCCACAGGTTTGACAAAAGACATGAGGACAGACAGTTGCTGTCACTGGGTGTCCCCACCTACAAGAAGCAGCTGTTTTCAAGTAGACCAGAAGTCCCCGAGAATGCAAGTGGTGGTGTAAGTGGAAACATGTAAGTGCTGAAGGGACGGTCAGAATCTCCTCTAGACAGCAGTTCTGGAGAAGCCAAGCCCTGGCTGCTATGAGTCAGGCGAGCACAGCCTGGGTGGCCAGCTGTCCCCCATTCGGCTGAGGCCATTCTTGCAATTTGCCAAATGTGGCCCAGTGGGTGTGTGCCCTCAGCTCACAATGCCAGTGGCTCTGCATGCCAGCCAAACCTGTGAGTAATTCTAGATGAAGACTGAGCAGTGGGCAGTGAGTGCACTTTGTGCTGAGACCCTGAGAAGTGGGAGACAGTGAGCACGTTGATGTGGCCTGCACTGCGGATGGACCATTGTCTCCACAGAACAAGCCCTCCTGGGCTGAAGTCACTCTTGCCAGAGAGTGATATGCTAATCACCCTCACAGGCATTTTAGATAAAACCCAAAGAAAAACAATAAATATAAGGAAAGCAGGATGTTTACTTTTGCATTTTAATTGACTTTTTAGTTCATGCTTTGATTCTGTATATTTGAGTAGCTTTTTTCCTCACACCCTGCTGCAGAATGTTATGTCCCGTCTACTGTTCACGGACACACATCTGCAAGTGCAGCAGGCAGACCCCTGACACAAGCACTGGGGTGGCCCTCAGAGTGGGTGTCCTGCCCAGGTCTCATGAGAGACTCAAGAGGCTCCACCAGGGAATGCCATCGTTCAGACTCTTACAAATTCAACATCACTTCCTTATTGCTTTACTGAGAGGTCTCTGCCATTTGAGTTGTGAGTGTCTAATAATATGTTAGGCTACAGCTGCGTGTTAAGTTGGTCCTATGTGGATTCTTCTTTGTATACAAACAACTTTAATGGATTAGACAGAAAAAATTACTAAATATATTTTGTATTCTCTCCTTTCTTTTCTTTCTTTTTTTTTAGAGACAGAGTCTGACTTTGTCTCCCTCAGTAGAGTGCCATGGCGTCACAGTTCACAGCAACCTCCAACTCCTGCGCTTAGGCGATTCTCTTGCCTCAGCCTCCTGAGTAGCTGGGACTACAGGTGCCTACCGCAATGCCCGGCTATTTTTTTTTGTTGTTGCAGTTAGACTGGGCCGGGTTCAAACCCACCACTCTCAGTATATGGGGCCAGCGCCCTACCCACTGAACCACAGGTGCCGCCCTCTCCTTTCTATGTTTACTACTTCACTCAGCTGAAAATTTCAAAAAGGGAAATAAAATACATTTCCCATTACAAATCTCTTGCATCTTTGAAGCAGCTGAAAAAATTGAAGCAGGAACCTCAGCTAGGTGACCAGCCCCAGGTGAGGGGCAAGACCCAGGCAGGGCCAGCAGGGAGGGGGCTGCAGCCTGGAGGCCTGAGCAGGGGAGCAGGACCCTCAGAGTATGCACACCTCTCCCTGATGCCCTAGGTCCAACTAAAGGGTCATGGCACCTGCAGCTGGCTGGCAACACTGAGGAGGAGGGTGTATACTGAGGAGGTAGCCGGTGAACTGGGAGATGCTGGAAGGCGACTGAACAAGAAGCAGCAGGAGCAAGAATGACAGGGTCCAGCAGACATAGATGTCAACTCCCCCCTCACCCCCCTGCAGCTCTGTGTGCAGGAAGAGCACGAGAGGGACTCCTTGGCACTCAGAAGCATATCACTGTGAGAAGACACTGTCCTGTGCCCACAGATGTCTGGGTTCAGACACTGCTGTGTACTTTCTGGGTAGTGGAACATGGCCATAGGCCACCCACAGGTGAGCCACAGCTATGCTCCCTGAGAACACTGGCCTTGGTGTCCCTAGGGAGCTCACAGTGAGGCTTTGGAATAGTCCAACCACCTCCCGTCTTGAAAGAAAAATCCCTGTCAACTAAGTCAGTTAAGCTTTCTTATGACTCACAATTTTTGCTTTAAAAGCTCTATTGGGGCTCGGCACCTGTAGCTCAAGTGGCTAAGGCGCCAACCACATACACCAGAGATGGAGGGTTCAAATCCACCCCAACTGCCAAACAATAATGACAACTACAACCACAAATTAGCAGGGTGTTGTGGTGGGCACCTGTAGTCCCAGCTACTTGGGAGGCTGAGGCAAGAGAATAGCTTAAGCCCAGGAGTTGGAGGTTGCTATGAGCTATGATGCCATGGCACTCTATCCAGGGTGACAGCTTGAGGCTCTGTCTCAAAAAATAAATAAATAAATAAAAGTTCTATTGAAACAGCTCTTTGAGACAGATGCAGGTATAAGTTTAATCGTGTAATATTCTTAGGATCTCTTCATGAGCTTAGGGTAGACAAATCTTCCCCAGATAGGCTTAAGTGCTCTGACCACAAAGGGACATGTTGGTGCCGCTGTGTGAACTCTGATGTGTCTGTGCCACTCTGTGCTCTCCCAGCACAGTGGGTTTCTGAGAGGAAGGATGCAGTGTGACTGCTGGAAAGCCCAAAGCTCAATGCACTCCCTTCTCTG